ATATGTTTGTAGAAGTGTGCGTGCACGAGTGTGTATGTGTGTGTGTGCCTTAATGTTTATTAAGTTGATTAATCGCTTGTAATATTTATGGGCCCACAAAAGCGTCAACAATTGCCTCCGAAAAGTAAATATTGCAATAATATTTAATCTGCTTTGCAATCGACAAATCCGATTTAATACACTATCCGATAGGAAGAAGATAATTACTAAGTAATAATCACACACCGAATTGTTATCAATTTTATGATGATGGAAGTTTATTAGAATGTGAATGAACATGCATTGATGGTTGGATGAGATTGAAAGAAGGAAAAGGTGCAGAAAACTTATAAATAAAATTTAAACGTTCAAAATGTTAACCATTGAATGAATATTGCTGTGAAGCTCTACGTACTACATACATCCTAATCTTGAGTATTACGACTCATTCTTGTTGTTGAGGTTCCACATCCGAACAGATTCGCAATTCAAATTACTTAACTAGAAATGTTGAAATAAGAGTTGAATAATAAAAAAATTTTGATTGCAACTAGCAAACAAACTAGGAAGCATTCCTTCCCCTTTAGTTTTGCATACAAATTACACAAGCTTACAACATTAAGTCCAATTGTTTAAAATTTAAATTCAATACGGTCATTTTGTAAAAGATGCAATCTGGAAACTTATTTACCTATTCAGATAAATATCAAGTAATTATATTTTTATTTTTTAAAACAAATTTAGTTAAATTTTTAAATGCTTTCATTATTTTTGTCATTAAGGCAAAATCATACCATGGCCCTATATGTTGCCAATATTTTCTATTATTATAGAAATGGATATCCTGCATTATGTATTAATTCAAAATCCCAAAAAACTATAACCTATTTCATCCATTCGTTTCTAAATCTATGTATACTTGTGTAATTATTCATAAGATTTATTTTTGTTATACATAATAAATCGGCACACACACAGAAGAGGCACACAGTTACGAAATAGAAACTATAATAAAACACTAAACCAATTTCAAGTTCCGGAGTAAATTTTTTTAAGTAAGATTACAAGTAGTTTAGATGAGTTAAATTTTGTTTTTTTTTGTATCGTTGCTGCTGTTGTTGTCGTCGTTATTTGCACAGTTTTTCTGTTCTGTTGAAAATTCACAAAATATTCTAACTTAGTTGATAGGTTCGTAAACTGCATCCTGCAGCACCAACAAAGAAAAAAATAATTTGAAATAGAAATAACTATGAAATAAAATAAATAGTAGTTTCAGTTGGGCCAGAAATCCAAGGAGATGAATAAAAAAATAAATTCTAAATTTGAAAAATATGTCTAAAGTTTTACAAAATCTACCAAAAAACTTATCTAAATATAACATATATTTAGATAACTTTTTTTGGTAGACTATATTTAATAAAGATTTTGAGAAAAAATTGTGTACTAAATCATCAACTAAAGTTCCTTAGATGAAAACCTTTTCTATCAATTGGTTATGTGATTATTATTTTAAATAAATAAAGTGATTTGAAACCATGAAGGAAAATTTCCCCGGAAATTTTTGTATTATGGCGTCCCCACATTAGATTTCGTAATTGATGTACAGTATAGATAAAATGTCTGACCTATTTTCGGTATTCTTAAATGTATTAGTGTCATTCTGCAACCGATACTAAATTTTTCATTTGGTCAGATATAAAAGCTATATCGAAATCTGAACCGATTTTAAGGAAAATTAACACACATCATTCTAGACCTAATTAATTACGCTGTGCCAAATTCCGTGCAAATCGAAAGATATATAGGGACTTTGGTACATCATTTACCTTAAATCGGACGAAAATATATATGGGAGCTATATCTAAATCTGAACCTATTTTCAAGAAATCTTACACACATCATTCTAGACCTAATTCATTACGCTGTGCCAAATTTCGTGAAAATCGAAAGATATATAGGGACTTTGGTGGACCATTTACATTAAATCGGACGAAAATATATATGGGAGCTATATCTAAATCTGGGCCGATTTTCAGTAAACTTAACACACCTCATTCTATACCTAATTCATTACGCTGTGCCAAATTTCGTGCAAATCGAAAGTTAATAGGGACTTTGGTGCACCATTTACATTAAATCGGACGAAAATAAATATGGGAGCTATATCTAAATCTGAAACGATTTTCAGGAAAATTAACACACATCATTCTAGACCTAATTCATTACGCTGTGCCAAATATGGTGCAAACCGAAAGATATTAAGGGACTTTGGTACACCATTTACCTTAAATTGGACGAAAATATATATGGGACTTATATCTAAATCTGAACCGATTTTCAGGACAATTAACACACCTCATTCTATACCTAATTCATTACGCTGTGCCAAATTTCGTGCAAATCGAAGGACATATAGGGACTTTGGTGGACCATTTACATTAAATCGGACGTAAATATATATGGGAGCTATATCTCCCTTGGGCCAAATATGTGACCTATGCCCAATTTCATCCAAATCGGATCATAAACGCAACCTGAAATTTGTTCACAAAAATACATGGACGGACGGACATGCGTAAATCGACTCAGACAGTGATTCTATGCATATTCTCAAAAGGAACCATGTGTCTATCTCGTTTGCTTTTGCCTGTTACAAACATATGCACAAAGACATAATACCCTGTACCACAGTGTGGTGAAGGGTATAAATAGTCAATGTTGCAAACCCTTCCGCGGCGTAGGAAACTCGCTATTCGACGATGGAAGCACCGTATGAAACACGCTGTCAGAGTAGGTTCCTACGTTCGTCTGCTGATGGGAAGCAGCGTAGGAAACACGATAGCAAATCTACCCTGTTATTTTATAACACCCCAAGCTGCATATGCACCGTGCTTACTAACAAAAGTCCACGGCTGCTGACTCTCAGAGCGGTAAGAGATGTACGAAACACGCTCATCCACGAACGCCTGGTCGGAGATTATCCACTAACTTAGTCAAATAGCGATAAGCGACGTACAAAACATACTTATCTCAGAGCGGTAAGAGATGTACGAAACACGCTCATCCACGAACGCCTGGTCAGAGATTATCCACTAACTTAGTCAAATAGCGATAAGCGACGTACAAAACATACTTATCTCAGAGCGGTAAGAGATGTACGAAACACGCTCATCCACGAACGCCTGGTCGGAGATTATCCACTAACGCTTAGTCAAAGAGCGATAAGCGGCGTACAAAACATGCTTATCCACGTACGCTTAGTCAAATAGCGATAGGCGGCGTACGAGAAACGCTTAACGCTCAGTCGAAGAGCAAGAAGGGGCGAACGAAACACATTTATAAATTTAACAAATTTATATTCACTATTTGAATTTCAGTCTACTCATCGGTACTCCTCGAATTGTTCCTTGGAACTTGTATCGTTGATCGCCAATCAATCAATCACTGATCCGCTTTCTATTTTCATTTCAAAATTCGCCATTTATTTTGGAAATTATTTCATTTGTACGGCATACTTAATGGCTACGGCATAAATTTTAACTATATATCTACTCGTCCTATGCCATATGGCTTACAATGAAGGAGACTACGAAACTATTTTATATCTAGCGCCACATTTGGAATGCTAGGCGAACTTTTAAACAAACTAGTACTTATACAGATATTCTTAAAACTTTACATGCCTTAAAAAAATAAAAATCAGGCCAAACTTAAATTAACTTAAAACTACCTTAAATTCAAACTGGCAATTAAATTATTTACACTTTCTGTTTTATTGAGCTGTGCTATATACAGGCTCAATATCGGTGTCAAATCTGTGGTACCTCCGATGATAGTACATCTTCATCGTATATGATTCCTCCGTATCGGAGCTTCAACAAAGCTCCATAGGGGAGGTTTTCCTTCTAAGTATGGAATGGAGTTCCTCGTTGTATTCTTGGTATCACTCCATTACTCCATTTTCCCCAAGCTGGCTTCTTTGCACCAAGTTGAGGACATATTTCATCATGCAGACATCGATTCGTTTCAAGTCAATTGCATTGCAGATGTTCCTATTGCCCGGACGTCTATAAATTCCTTTGATATCTAATATTGGTCTCATTCCTACGCATGATGTTAATATATTTCAGGAGGTCTGAAAATACAGGGAGACTTGGATCCTACTCTTTAGTAGGATCCGAGCGAGCATTTCTGATATACATATATAAAAAAAATACAAAATAAAACTTCAAGAAGGAAAGGTCCTGTAATCCACATTCTTCGTTTAGCTATTTTATAGAAATTAGAGTTCGTGTCGCTCATTCATATGTCATCTTCATGTTATATGTCACTTATATAGATTCTTAACACTAGAACGCTGAAGGCGGTCATTTTGACTGCTTTCCAATTTCAAGTACAAAAGCAACTGTGCATTTAATGACACTTTTTTAAAATTTGGTGAATTTTTTATAATAAACGTAATTCTATGAGGTACAAAAAGTCACCATATTTTAAAACAAAGTGTTATTAAATGCACAGTTGCTGTTGTACTTGAAATTGGAAAGCAGTCAAAATGACCGCCTTCGGCGTTCTAGTGTTAAGGACGACTCGGCATTGAAAAGTAAATATCACTTTACTTTAAATGTCAAATAGCATTGCTAGAATAAGACTATACTACTACCAAATTTAATTATGTCATAACATTTTATCAAAGTCTTCGTAAAATATGTGTGTATTATAAATTAGTTAGTGTATTCTATGACGTCATCATACTAACCATTTCTTATTGCTAGAATTTTCAGAAATTTAACTAACCGTTGTACTAACCCAAAATATATACAATTATGAGCTAATTTCCCTAACTAACAACTAACCTTTATTGTAATTTGTAATACTTAACTTTTAGTTAATTACCTATCCTATAAGTAAACTAGTTAATGTTAATTAGTTAAGTTCAAGTAATTAATTTAATTTTAGTTAACCAATAAACGAGACGTATAAAAACATTTTGTTATTATTCCGAATACCCCTTTCTAATGAAGTGTTGTTCTATTTTCATCCCTCATCCCCCTGCACCATTACAGACCCAATATCAAATATCAATACTCAGCCTTAGATAGTGGCAATGGTGTCGTTGAACGTTCGCCCCGTGAGCGGGCTCAGCGAGAAAAGGCGCTCAATGCCACCCAAGAATGGGTACAACAATCAAATGGTCGTTATGAGGTAATTGCCCATTTGGATGAGATCGGTTCGAGGCATGGGAAAAATTGGTTCCTCGTAACTGATTCTTCGGTAAGTGTTTCACCATTTGGGATTTTTTGATATTTATTAATATTGTTATTTTTTAGGTCCGCACCGATCGCCTTATGACCATGTTAACCCTGCCTCCGGATTGTGTTGCCTTCGAAGATCTCTCACCCAATGAAAGTCCAAAGGGTATTCTAATGGAATTATTGGGTTCTCTTCATCATCCCTATATCTATCCAGTGCTCGATTTGGGCTTTCTTCATATCAGTTCGGGAAATTTCGCCTGTTTGGTAACGCCCTTCAATTCCCGGGGTAGTCTTAAGGATTTAATCTATAAGGTAAGTGTATATCTTACTTTTACATACGAGGGAGAAAATTAAAAGATGTATCAGAGACTGTCAAGCGACGGAAACATCATGAGGACAAATAATACTTTCATAAACGAGCCGAAATAGGTAGTATTTCTGAAACGAAATGAACCAGAAGACTACCTGCGTCATAGACTAACTGAAGTGTCAGGTAGATTTACAAAAACGAGATGAAGGCGGGTTAGAAGGTTAGAGACTACTTAATAGCTGCAGGTTCAGGGTTCATTTTTTCATCGAAAAACTTAAGGGTCAGGGAGTGTTCAGAAACGAGAGGAAGTCCCAAGGAGTCTTTCGCAGATGCAATTAAGCCTCGGAAGCGAGCTAAAGCTTCTGGGAGTCTTTGATACACAGCTGAGTGTTGGCATTGATAAGCAGAAGTGTTTATAGACTTGCTAAAGGACCAGGGAGTATTTTGTAAAATAGACTGAAGGTTCAGCGAGTCTTTCATAGGCGGGTTAGAAGGTTAGAGGCTACTTATAGCTGCAACTTCTGGGAGCTTTTTTTAGACGAACTGATGGGTCAGGAGCTGAAACCTCAAAGGCGAACTGAAGATTCAGATATTCTTTCATCGATGAGCTGAAGGGTCGCCGAGTCTTTCATAGACAATTTGAATTATCCAAGAGTTTTATAAACAAATCGTCGCACTGTGGCCGCATTGCTGAAGCGTAAAAAGCATCAGAGGCGAAGGTTCAGGGAGTCTTTCATAAACAAGCTGAAGGTTCAGGAAGGCGAGCGGAAAGGTCAGAGTGTCTGCATAGATAATCAGGAGTTCACAGATGAGCTAAAGCCTCAAAGGCGAACTGAAGATTCTGAAATTCCTTCATAGACGAGCTGAAGGGTCAGGGAATGTTTCATAGAAAAAATTAAGGGTCAGGGAGTCTTCAGAAACGAGTCGAAGTCTCAAGGAGTCTTTCGCAGATGCAGTTAAGCCTCGGAAGCGAGCTAAAGGTTCTGAGAGTCTTTGATACACAGCTGAATGGCCAGGAGGGCAAGCGGGAGGGTCAGAATGTCGGCATTGATAAGCAGAAGTGTTTATAGACTTGCTAAAGGGCCAGGGAGTATTTCGTAGACGAAACTGAAGAGTCAGAGATCCTTTCATAGGCGGCATAGAAGGTTAGAGACTACTTTATAGGCGAGCTGCAGGTTCAGGGAGTCTATCATACACAAACTGGGTCGAGGAGTTTATAACAGATTTGGTGAAGGTTCAGGGAGTATTTCGTAGACGAAACTGAAGAGTCAGAGATCCTTTCATAGGCGGCATAGAAGGCTAGAGACTACTTTATAGACGAGCTGCAGGTTCAGGAAGTCTATCATACATAAGCTGGGCCAGGTTGTCTTACAAAGACGAGCTGAAGGGTCGGGGAGTTTTTAACAGATTTGGTGAAGGTTCACGGAGTCTTTCATAAACCAGCTAAATTGTCAGTGTTTTTTTAGACGAACTGATGGGTCAGGAGCAGAAACCTCAGAGGCGAACTGAAGATTCAGAGATTCTTTCATAGATGAGCTGAAGGGTCGGCGAGTCTTTCATAGACAATTTGAATTATCCGAGGGTTTTTATAAAGAAGTCACAAGCTGATCAGGGAGTCATTCAAAAAAGGACTGATGATTCTTGTATAAACGAACGAAGCAGGAGTACTCTGTATATGAACTGAAGCAGGGAGACTTTCA